GGAAAGCCGTCTAGAGTGGTCTTATAGGCCAGATGGGCGGGGTATAAATCAAATAAATCAAATAAATCAAATAAATAATAAATAAAATTGTATGAATAGTACATTGATTTCAATGGGTTTACTCGAGTTAGAATGAGCATTGGATTTTGCTTTCCAGATCTTTCTCCAAAATATGAAGTGCACTTCACAGACAATTGTTTTGTATTCCATTACAATCGCCATGGCAGTGGCCAAGAGAGAAGGTAATAATTAGTTCCCAGGTGGTACATGAAGCAGGGGGTATTTTCCCCAGTGGACACTGTAGAATCTTTAAAGCCTATCTAAAGAATAAGGTAGGCTTTAAAGACTGGGCAGCACTCCTCAGACATTTTATCCCAGAATCTTCACTGACTGCTTAAAAATAATTCTTGATTAAGTGTATTAGTTTTCTTTAATTTGATGCCTGTTGTGAGTCGAAAGGGTAGCACATAAATATCAGAAATAAATAAATATAAACAAAAATCAGACTTCCTGGTGGAAATCTGGCACTCCATGCACTGTGTTGGAAGTATACAAAAGACATTGTCACCTCCTATTGGCCAGTTTCTGATAGGTGGACCCCCTCCTGGCCCCATAAGGCCACCGGAGTCAAAGCTGGCAGCCTCTGCTATCTGAGATTGCAGCTGCCGGTAAGCACACTTGGAGTGGGGCTGCGGAGGACAGCTAGGGCTGCCCCCCCGCAGCCCAAACCATCTTCTAATGTGGCCCAGGGTAGGTGAAAGGTTGGACACCCCTGATCTAAAGACTGGGCAGCACTCCTCAGACATTTTATCCCCGAATCTTCACCAAGGCATCACTGACTGCTTAAAAATAATTCTTGATTAAGTGTATTAGTTTTCTTTAATTTGATGCCTGTTGTGAGTCGAAAGGGTAGCACATAAATATCAGAAATAAATAAATATAAACAAAAATCAGACTTCCTGGTGGAAATCTGGCACTCCTTGCACTGTATTGGAAGTATACAAAAGACATTGTCACCTGCTATTGGCCAGTTTCTGGTGGACAACTCCTAAGAAATAGCTGTGTTAAGTCTGCTTCAGCATGAATGACAAAAATGATAAGAACAGTTTTGTGGCACCTTTAAGAGCTTTTGTGGATATCAGTCCACTTTTTCGGACACATGGAGCATAAGCAATAGGTTTCTATACATAGCATAATTGGTTGTGGTAGCAATGAAAAGGGATACAGAAGTTAATCGCTTGGCTGTCCAGGTTGGTGGACAACCAGTTACTGCCTGCTGACTGCTAAAGTTTTTGCATAACAATAAGTACACACACCCCAGGTGGACTTCGATATGATGCATCAAGACACTTCTTCTGTTCCTAAGAAAGAATGCAGTCTCAGGCTCTTTTAAAAAGTCATAGTTAAGATATGCCATAAGATCTTGCTTGGTAAATGTAAAAAAATGCAACATGCTAGGTTCTGTCCCCATAATCACCAGTTTAAAATGTTGCTTGCATTTTGGACACAAAAGTGCATTTTAGGGTGTGCACAAGCAAGTGAACGGATACTACATAAATCCAACTTCTAGGCAGATTCACATTGTCCTCAGTGCATTTTGGACTGGAGTTCACATGGGTTCTGATTAGTCGTAATATGTTTTGCCAGTTGTTTGCCTAGATACTATGTTATTCAACAGTAATACTGTAACTCCTCTCCAGGACAGCAAAGGAATGCTGCATTGGTGAATCACATTACACATTGTCACACAGTGAAATCAGAACTGAGCTTTTGGGTAATCTCATGAAGTTTGTAGTCCTAACAGCATCCAACTAGAAAGTAAATCCACATGAACTGGGGGAGGGGGGCTTCCTTTCAAGTAAGTGATAGTTACACTCTACTTTTCCTCTAACCAGTCCAAAGCAGTCCATGTGGATTGCCTCCTTGTCCTCCTCGCTTTATTCTCACAACTATGGAATGGTCCTGGGACAAATAGTGTCCTGGGGGAGGAGTGTCTTCAGCACCCCCTTAGTCCTAGCCCTGTAGGGACAGCCAGCAGGTTTATGGGGCCTGAGGTGATATGTTGGTGGCCTCGCTGCTGCTCCCTCCATGTATGTGTGTATAAAGTCATGGGCCCCATGCAAGAGTTATTGTAGGCATAGATTACATCTGTGAATTGTTGCATACAGCTCATTGTTGCTTGTAGGTAAAATAGGCTGGAAGATGTGCTTCTTATGTGGGGATTAAAGGAACGCATGTTGTGGCTCTCCTGTTTACCCCCACCCCACCCGACCCCTATTCCAAGCCCTTTCCAGCAGAACTTTCAGTCTCATAGGCCCATCCTTCGGTTGTGGCTTGTTGCCTACCTTCTCCACTACTCAGGAAGAATGGTTTCTTCACAAGGCAAGGCCTCAGATTGAGGGGAAGGGATTAGCCCAAGGTTACTGATCAGGTTTCACGCCTCAAGGAAGACTACCAGAACCTTGGGCTCCCAAGTCAGTTAGACATTTTAAATCACCACACCAGTACCCCTCACTACTCCCTTCCTTTTTCACTGGGGAAAAATAAACAGGAAATTTTTTTTTGTATCCTCCGATGTTTGAATGCATTCCCCCTCCCCTCACCTAAAACACCCGTGTCAAATTTAGCAGATTATTTCCAAGGAACAGTACTAATCTAAAAGTGAGGCAGAACATGTGGCCCCTTTCAGGTTTGGAAAGAAGGTGGGAAATCTAACGTATGAATTGTTTACAAATCCATGTTACTAAAAAAGGAAAAAAAACCCAGTTCCTTTCTTTTCATAGAGTTGCGAAAGCAAATTCTGACACCGCCTGGCATCTCCCGTTTGGTTTTAATATTATTTTTTTAAAACAAGCTCCGCTCGTCTCCACTGCGGGCCCCTTCCGCCTTTGTCTCCACCGCCGTGCGTGTGTATCTGTGTCCCGCGTTGCTCCCCCTCCCCTCCCCTCCCCTCCTCCGTTTCTGTAACCGGAGCTCTCATTTCCTGGTAGAATGTCTTAAAGAGGCAGGGCAGAGTAAACCGTCACACAAAAGCCTATTGTCTCGTTTCCTTCACCTTTCCGCCTTTATTCGATTTTTTAAAAAAAAAACAATCACGTGCTTTGCGGGGGCTATCACATCATCTCCTCGGTTCCCAACAACGCCTGCCTTTCAAGCGGCAGCCTGATGCCCGCGGTGTTTTTATTCTAATTTCTCCATTACCCGGCCTTTCTATTCTGGGCACTTTATAACCCTCTTGTGCTGCATTTCTAAATGCGCCGTCCAGTCTGTTGATATGTTTACTCGGTAGTAAGGGGGTAGGGTAATTAGAGGCGATTTTACACTGTCCTGTAAATGCACCTAGGATAAAATACTTCTCGGAGGACCTTGTACATGTTACTTCGGTATCTCTGCCCAATTCACAGGGACCTACTCGAGAGCAAGCGGGCTCTCTTGCAGCCTGGCTTTCTACGTCCGTTCCCAGAGCTAGGACTCACGGCGTTCAACGAGGTTTTGCATCCAAGCAAACAAAAGAGGATCGCCTCTGCTGGGCTAAAAACCTGAGAGGACCCCCCTCCCGGAAGTAAATCCCTTTGAATTTAGTGGCACTTGGCCTCCGTGTAATTGTCCATAGAATTGCAACTCACGGGGAAGCAAGCCTTCACTTTTAAACAGCGATTTTATCTAGCCAAACCCTGCCGTGTGTCCTTGTTCTCTTTTCCTGTTTCCTGGTCTGAGGCAAAAAAAAAAAAATTGCTTTTTCTTCCTTCCTCCCTTTGCCAGTCAACCGGTTGGCGGTAAGGAGGGGGGGTCGCCGTTTATTCCTCCGGCTTCCTCATGAATGTGGAACCAGCTTTTGTGGCGGCCGATTCTCCTCCCCCTTTCCTCTTCAGTAGATCCTTTTAATTTTATTTCCTTGTAACCCGAGCTTGGTTTTTTTTTAATTTCCTGGTGGATTCGGCTCCTTTAAGAGGCAGAGCTCAGTGCTGGGAACTCACGTCACTTTTCAGCCCAGAAACTCTCCAGATCAATGACCGAAGAAGAAGAGCCGCTTTTTCTCAGTGGTGTCTTTCAGTTTTCTTCTTCCAGGAAAGAGCCGGGGAGGGGGGAGGGAGGGAGGAGAAGAAGGAAATCCCATATTCACCAGAGCATAAAGAGAAGCTAGAGAGAGAAGGGGGGAAAAGTTAGGTGAGGGACAATTTTGAGGAAGTGCCAAATCCAGCTCTTTGGGAAGCTCCGTGTATTCATAAAGATCCACCCTTGCTAATTTCAATTAAAACAACAACAACAACAACACCAAAGCCTAAAACGCAAAACTAAACCATGCCGGGCTTTTTTCTCCAGGCTGATGTGCTGCAAGCCTGCTTAGGGGATCGTCTTTTGGGGGAAATGATTGGAGGAACTTCTCTATAAGCCGCCCGCGGTTGGCTGGGAAAGGATTTCTGCTGGGTCTGGAGGAAGAGGAAAGGGAAAGAGGAAAGAAAGAAAAAAAAAGAAAGCGGAGAACTTCCTGGTCTCTCTATTTCCTCCTCTTCTGAGACATGTCTGAGGGTCCCGGCCAGTGTTTTATCAAGGTAACAAATCTCTTTTTCAAAAAAGAAAAAAAGCTCTTTGACATTTACTTAGATCCGAGAAGTTTGTTCTGACTGCAAGTAACGTGTAATTGTTATAGATTTAATTGATCTGTCGCTTTTACGAGCCGTGTTGAAGCGGAAATAAGCCAACGGGCGTCTTATTTTCTTTCCAGCGTCACACCGTCTTTTCTTTAACCTTGGGTTTTTTTTTTCTTTAACAGCGGGACCAATCCAGATCCCTCTTCATCAACCGGAGGGGGGAAGGTTAGGGTCAAACTTGTTTTCGATCTGTTTTTGCATAGAGAGTTTGGGCTGTAAACACAAGAGTCGGATTGACTTCTTTTGCCCCGCAAGTGTGTGTGGCTTTGCACAGGGAAGTCTGGACTTGGGGATGAAGTTGGTGCGCCGCTGCGGGGGACGGGGTGGAAAGAAAAGTTTGGCCCTTCTAAACCAGAAGCCTCGCAAAAGTCCTACCCTGGAGGAAAAGGCCCCCCTCCCCACGTTCACCCCTGTCTGCAGACGCTTCCGTTCGTGTGCACGCTCCTCTCTGACTTGGGAGTAGCGCTCCTCGGGAGTCCATGGGGATATGCTGCTCAGTCATATGCATTGTTTACTTGGATGCGAGAGAACTGCAGCCGGCTTCCCAGTTAGTACTGGTAGCAGAGGTGGGCTGCAAAGGTTACTTTTAAGATCCTGGATTCAGAGCCTCTGTATTGAGCGATGAGCTCCTGTTCTGCTGAATGAGACTTGATCCCAAGTAGAGGTATACAGGATTCCACCACAAGGGGGGAAAACTAGTTTCTAAGGGCTCCATGTTTTAAAAGTTTAAAAGTACAGTACAGTATCAGCCTCTGAGTTGTATGAATACTCGTTGATACACATGGCACTTTCTTAACGTTCAGTATTTTGATCTGGACTTGTCGGTGACTTGGGTATTGTGAGTGGCCTTTTGACAGTTCGGAGACCAATATTATATTAGGTAGAAGATTAGGGTGCAACACATGCTGCAGTATGGCATGAAGCCTTTATGTCAACAAGTGTTTTAAAAATCAATTGAATAGTGTGGCTTAGGTGATTAATTCAGATATTGATTGATTGATATGTATAGCAACATTATGTGCTTCTTTCTGTTGTAAAGTTGTTCTTTCTTTTTTACTTTAACAAACTTCCCCCAACTTCTCTGAGACCTTTGACGAAGCAAATAAGTTGTATTTTGTTAAGCAGCCAGATTGTCTTAATTTGTTATTATTGAAGCATGGTTGAGTTATCTGCTTCTGCAGAATGTAGCTTTCCCAATTTCTGTTAAAAATATTTTCTTACAGCCACAGCTATGTTCACAACTAGAGCTTGTATGTGATTGTGCACAAGAGTATAATCAACACATTCTTAAGTTTCATGGGACCTATTTCTAAATCAACATGCATAGGGTTAAGGTGCAGTCATAAATGCACTCCCAAGGGAACTAGCCCTATATAATCCAGGAAGGTTTGCTTTGGATCACATAGCAGTAGTTGCAACATACAGGAGTCCAAGCTCTGGTGCAGTTCCCAGGGACATAGTGTTACAGAAGGCACATAAGTGTAGTTCTGGTAACATAAAGAACGGCATCGTTGGTGAATATAAAAGTTGTATCCTTGAAGCAACATTATCTTCTCTTTCGGAGTTTTTTTGTGCAGTGACTGTCAGTGTGACTACTGAAACTGCTAGTTTAAATGTTGCCAAATTCCCAAGAAACTTTCACCAGCCAACCAAAGCGGCAATTCTGAACTTCTGTGTCATCAGCCACATTGGGGGGGAAATCCAATCGCTTGCCTTTAGAGGGCTGTTTAAAATGCATGAAATGCCCTGCATAAACCTTGTATATCCTTATCTCTAAACATGTATTATGTGGAAAAAGTCTTGTATATTTTGTTACTCATGTAAACTGGCCCTGGCCCTATTTATGTTTATTCAAAGTTAACTCCCACTGATTTCAGTAATAGTTGTGAATAAGAAAGCGGCCTAAGGCACAAACAGTAATTTCTTGATTTGTAGAATAGTGGTGTGTAATAAAGGTGTTTTTAAAATTTTAAATGGGCATCTCTATACATTTCATATCCTTGTTGTGTTGCCTGCAGATATGACTGATCACATAGATTTGTGAAAAGAGTTGAAAGTTTTCTTTCTTCTTTTACAGATTAATGTTTTAATTTATATTTTTCTTCCAGACAAGTTGTGTTCCTTCACATTCAAGATCTTAATTTTGACATACTCATAAATTGTTTCACTGGGCTATTCATTAAAATGAAATTAAATGAAACCAACCCAACTCAACTCACTTCTGTGGCCGTGGAGGATTTAATAGCCATGTGCTGTTTTGTGGAGATTTTTGTTCTTTGTTTAAAATATATGCATCCCCTCCCACAGCTTTTAGGTTGTTTCCACTTCAGCTTACATATAGTTAACACAAGTTTACAGGCAGGCCTAGAACAAAAGCAAGAAGGGATGAAGGAGGCAGGAAGGAAAAGCAAGCATTCTTTCAAACGGGCAGGTGGAAGGACCTCTCTTCCTGTCTTATTACTCTGTGCCACAGCCTGCGGGTTGACAACTATTAATTAAAGTAAATGGGAGAAAAGTGGGATATACTGTACAGTAAATGCAATGAAATATCTACTTCCTCATCATTATGTTGTAAGCCGCCTAGAGTGGTCGAAATGACTAGATAGGCGGGGTATAAATACAATCAATCAATCAATCAATCAATCAATCCTAACATTTATGTAACATTTCTGCCCTTAAAAGACTGGCATTTGAGCATCTGTGATTAGCAGCAACTGGTTATTTATGAAGACTGAAAGCAAAAGCATTCTGTTTTATTTATTTTTTCTTTGTTGGAGCTACATAAACTCCATAACCCTAATCTATAATATTATTCTCTCTGCAGTACTAAGTACAAGCTAAACTTTTTGCTCCGAATATGTTCTGTTTCTAAAATGCAGATGCATTTATTTTTTTTCTGTGCTGTAACACACAACACATAGTATGGCAGCATAAATAGATAGGAAATATATTTTTAAATTTATCTGTGTTTACAAAATTCTGTCTCATCATTCAGGTGACTCTTTCTGCTAGTGTATAGCCTAGTTAAGTCTGAGACCCTAATATTGAACTGTTTGGGTCCTGTTTAGTTTTAATGGATCTAAATTGATTGAATTCTTAATTGATTGAGGATCTCCCTATTTACTTTCTCTGCATTTGCAAGTCACTTAGTTCCAAATGTAGAAAGAAAGTCTGTTCACCTGTGATTTAAAATATAAGATCTAACAGGAGTAAAAAAACCTTGAACCTTCCTGATATCACGGTGCAGGATTTTACATCAATATCTCCCAAACATTTGATATACTTTCCACTGATTTTGCTGGTACTTTGTTAAATTTAGAAGTGTATTACATTCTAATTTCAAAAGGCAGTTTTTGTGTTTTGCTGATCAGCTTATAGAACAACAGTTGGGTGTCTCAACTCTGCAAACGTGGGAGATCGTAGTTAAATCTGGCTCCTTTTCTTTGCCCAGTTTGTTAGATCAGCCAAGGCCTCTCTCTTCAAATGGGTAGGGAGCCATCGCTGCATCCCATGTAGTAGTTTGACAGAAAGGACATTTCTGTCATTTGCACATCTGTGCTCTGGTATACAATTTTAGCACCACTATGTATATACTGTTATTTTCTTAAATAATTTGTTGAGCATTCATTTATGGAACTCAGCTAAATCTGAAAAGTAGTTGAAGCAGTGACCCCATTCATTGGCTTTATTTTAGGACACAGAAATGCAAAAATGAGACATAAAAACCATAATGTATTTCTAAAGCAATGTGATTTTTCAGTAAAGTATCTTACATTTCTATACATTTTAGATGTCAAATGTAGACTAGATTTTTAAAACATGACTTTTAGTTACACTTGGATACATACGCTCGGTGTTGCTCCCAACCCTGCCTTACCCGGACATAGTAATTTACTGTATTAAGTAAGAATAATTTTGGAAATCACAATAAAATGAACTGTTCCCCCAAGGGATATCTCCAATGAGTAAAAGGAAAACAAATAACGAAAAAGACAAAGGCTTGTTTTTGCTTTTAATAATATTATATGTTGCAACATATATGCCAATATGGCATCTTTGAGATTCAAGAAATGTGAGTTTTTGTGTGGATAATTTGTGTGGTAGCCAACTTCTAATCTGAAAAACCATACCTTGGAAAAGATACTGTTTGGAGCATGGGCAGAATCCTGCTTGTGGACTGTCTATTGCTCAAGCTCCTGGACAGTTTCTGAACTTGTGCAAGGATGTATTGCTAGATATTTTTTTGTGCAAGCTCAGAAATCATCCAGCCACTCACACAATAGACCATTGTGGGAGCAGAAGGAATAAAGGCAGTTCTTCCAGATATCTCTCAGAATCCTCCGGTGTGAGCTTTCAAAAATTACAGTGCAGTTCCTCAGACACATACAGTACAATATTGAGCCACAGGTTGATATATACAGGGCACACCGCTCTCAAGTTGAGGTGGGGACCATGCAAGATGGGGTAGAAACACAAGTAATGAGCTTCAAAGGTAAGCTGCTACAGTGGTGGCCTGTGTGCAGGGTGTCCTGGTTGCGGGTCAGCACATACAACAGAATATGGGACTGTTATTAAGATGGGATTGTCATTAAGATGGGCAGAGGAAAAGATGTGTATGGCTCTTAACACATTTCCTAGGTAAGCGCTCCTGCAAAAGTAGCTTCAGTGATGACATGTTCTCTACATTTATCCTTTAAAATGGAGTAAGATTGCATTGACCTTTCTGCCTCAGGTTCTGCATTGCTATGTGGCATGTTCCAAACCCTTGATTTGTATCTTAGCTTGATTTCTAGTTGACCTGAATTGGTAGATGCTTACTTCCCTTGAGGAAAAGTATCCATGTAGCATTTACGTCTTTCCTAAAGGTGTCTGTACACAGTCACAGTCCTTTTGCTGGAATG